ATGAGAGCTTTCTGATAGTGTATATGAGAGCGTTCTAGTAGTGTATATGAGAGCTTTTTAATAGTGTATATGAAAGCTTTCTAGTAGCGTGTATGAAAGGTAAAGCTTTTCACCAGTTTATATGAACAGTTCTCACTACTTTGTATGAGAGCTTTTGAGTAGATTATATAAGAGGTAAATGTTTTCACTAGTTTATGTGAGAGCTTTTTACTAGTGTTTGTGTGAGGTTTTCAGTATATTATATGGAAGAGTGTAATTTAATATGTGTATATGCAAGTTAATTCTGATTTATGTCCCTGGGGGCACCTCATAATAAAAAAACACAAACAAAACTTTCTACAATGCTTCTCTATACCTTTTGAAAATAATTTCTTTGTACATTTTTTTGAAAAGGAATATGTTTGGGCATTGCTTTAGGTTCTCATTTAGTTTGTTCCACAATTTAACTCCGCAAATTGATAAACATAATCTTTTTCTTGTTGTTCTACATTTATTAGTCTTAAAATTTCCCCTTCCGCTTAAATGTTTGGTTTACAGCTGAAAAATCTAAAATAGGAATTTTAGAAAACCTGAATTTAATGTATGAATTGCAAAAGTAATTTTTCAATCAAGTGGCATGGCATGGAGGAATCAGCCTCTGGCTCTGGTGAGGTATTAAGCCAGCTGAGATTGCTTTGATAGCAGCTCAGAGCTTGTCATCATTATTGACTCTGCGGTTCAAATGCCTTTTGACAATACTTTATAGATTATCTTGGGGATATTGATCTGGCCAGTTTTCAAAAAAACGTGCAACGTGATAACATGGTCATTGACCTGGGTAGTGGTGCTTTTGAAACTGGGCAGGTGCCAAATCCTGCTTGAATATCTAATCAGCATTTCAATAAAAAGGTTTGAGTAAAGGAAAGCATGAAGTGCCTTAAAATTCACAGATAGATGGTTTTACCTGCTTTAAATGTGATACAACACAATGGACCAAGAGTAGAAGGTGACATAGTTCCTCAAATGATCAGTTACTGCAGAAACTGGAGAGCAAGTGGGAATCTGTGCCTCTCCACTCTTCTTCCAGTATGTAATGCATCTCCCACTATGAATATTTTAGATGTCTGAGAAACATTCTAGTTCTTGGGCCCCGTTAGCCATCTCTGATGGTTTTCTAATGAGTGGGCCCAACACAAAAATGCAACAGTTGTAATACATTACCTGGTTTGTCTGTTTGGGCTGTGTTTGACTGACTATACACAAAAAAACAGCTCATAAGATTTACTTAAAAAATATATTGTGAGTATTTGCAGAAATGATTTAAGTAAAATGTAATGCTGCAATATCAAGTAACACTCACTTGCCAGTATCAAGTGAATTTTACTTACCATAAGACATAACAGTTGTGAAGATATTAATTAACATTTACTTAATTACATCCAAGTTGTAAGTTAGATTTATTTAAACAAATTAAGTAAAGTGTATTTGTTTTTCATAAGCACAAACAGCATTTTACTCAAAATTTTAGGTAAATCTTATAGCCCTGTAGTATTTGCTGTTATGGAGTAATTAAGTAGATTAGTTATTTTCTTGTGCTTGACATATTGATTTACTTCATTGCATTATGTTACATTACTCACTAACTTTAGGCACTGCCAGGTTTCTTTGGATAAATATTACCAAATAAATTAAATTAATGGTCTATAAACTTAATATACATTAAACAGTTTATTTTTCATTTTAAACAGTTTAACAAAGAAGTAAATACCCTATTGGATTAAATTGCCCAATCTTTCATGGGCCAGCCAGAAATATGACAGTCTAACTGGAAATCATCCATCCATTTTCTGTCACGCTTAATCCCAGTTGGGGTCATGAGGGGTGCTGGTGCTCCAGCTGTCTATGGGCGAGAGGCGGGGTCTACCCTGGACAGGTCGCCAGTCTATAGTAGGGCAACCTGTCTATCCCAGGGAAACACAGAGACTAACTTAACAGTCATGTTTTTGGCCTGTGGGAGGAAGATGGAGTACCCGGAGAGGACCCACGCATGCTAAGGGAGAACATGCAAACTCCATGCAGAAAGGCTGGATATCGTACCCAAAACCTTCATGCTGCAATGCAGAAGAAAGGGAAGGGAAGTTTAATTCCTATAACTGGAATTGCACTTTATAAATATGCAATAAAAAATTTACAAGCCTCTGAAACTGAGAGTTTCAACATTCGTTACAGAAATATACTCATATATAAGATCCAGAATATTTAACTTACACAAACATGTTCAAAACAACTTCTGGGCGAGGGTCAGAACAGAAACACCCACTTAAACTTTGAGCAGTGGTGTAAAGATTATGTTTGGCTCTATTTAAATGAAGAAGAAAAAAAAATAAGTACAAACATAGCAGTAAAAGTGCATTATGTTGTACTGCATTAGAATTTGTACCGTAAAAAAGATAAGGTTCGTATGACTAAGACACAGTATTTCATATACACCACAACCAACATAGATCTGGTAATATAGTTACTACTCAATTATACGATAAAAATCTTACAAACCTACACACTGACCCAAGCAATATCAATCTTTAAACCAATCATCCAGACTAGTGCACTTTTAATGATTGCAATTACATCATCAATAAAACAAAATCAACACAATTAAAAATTAACATTTTAAACTGTCTAACCATTCTTAGTGAAGACTAAAATCTCTACTAGATATCTGAAAAAAGATATCTGTTATTTTTTGCGAAATAAAATATACCTTAATAGGCAAAAAATAAAAAACACTAATGACAGGCAACATTCCACTAAGATTAACTGGAACCGATTGCTAATTCTTGGCATTTGTTGCCACATTTTTCTACCCTAAGATGACAAAGTCATGAATGCATTTAGGAAAGCAACTTCATCTTCAGGGTGTTTACTTTTGGGGACAGTTTAAATCCATCCAATTCTAGTTATTGGAAGACTTCCAAAGTGTAGCGCAAACTGGGAGGGTATGCCAGGTTCAGGGCATATATCAGTCCCATGAGCAGCGAGCAGGCTTTTGCAGTACTGTTGCACCCTGTCAAAATGATGGTCACTGGGACTACCTCCTGCTCTGTGCGTGATCCTGTAATGTCTGGAAATGGAGCAGAATCTGTCTTGCTGTGAGCTACAATGCACATGTGCCGTGCTTGAATTTCAAAACGCTAAATTTTTAGTAGTTTATGTAGTATTTTTAGGTTTATGTACATACTGCTATTAAACACTAAAATAGTATAGGAAATCTGAGTAAAACTTTCTAATTCCCGAAAATTCATGTATTACATTGAAAAAAGGTTTACTTTTACTTTAGAAACTCTAGTTTTTACTGAAGCTTAAAAATACAGAGCAGAAATTATGACGAATAATCTAATAGAGTTTACTGCACCAAATGTCACTTCTATCAGTGTAGTTGCTATCCATGGCCTGTAAATCTCACTAAAACTATTAAACAGAATTTGATCCACAACCACCTCACCTTATGCACCTTTTGCTCCTGCACTTTTTTCAGTGACTCTACTTTCCTATCAAATACTTGTGCAGGAAAAAATATTTAAAATGTTTTTAGCACTAGATTTTCAAGACTGTTAGTCATACTCTGCTGTTAGATTAGCTACCTGTCCAGGGTGGAACCCACCTCTCATCTATTGACCATTACATAACAGGAGCCAGTCCCTCCACCAGAACAATGCAAAAAAAGACAATGAACGATTGTAAGCAGCATTTACCAAAATGAATATATGAATATACTCATAACATCTCAGTGTAATTGGCTTAAATTCACCTGTTTTATCAATTTTCCCTTTATAAATGCTCTTGTTATACAGAGGACCTGCATAGCCTTGGTGGTGAAGCATTATTTTGCACCACCAACGTGGCAGAAACTTTTACAATCCTTTTAGATAAGACACAACTCAATATTACACTGCATTTTGCACCATATTTATTTTACACTGCGCCAAACCTTCCACATTGATGCCCTTTTGCACCATTGTTTTTTTTTAAACTGGTTTTCCTTTTCTCCTATACATGATGATCACGGCTGCACTTTAAAAGGTAATGTTCATTTCTTAGACAAATTGTATTGTCATTTTGTATACACAGATTACATACAAAATAGAATTTTTGTTCAGTACAGCTTTTCACACAGTAAATGGACATTTTCATTTTCATTTCATAAAGTGCAGCAGTGATCAAATGTAAACAGTGTGGGAGAAAAAAAAAACATGGTGCAAGAAACACATTTATATGGTAGTTCAGAGCATTAATATATATGGTGCAAATATGCAGTATTTTTTCCGTGGTTTTAACCCTTTATAGGGCAAGTTACCATTTTTGATCGCTAGCATACTCCTTACAAATGGAGTCCCCCAAAAAATATTGCTGCATGGCTGCACATCTTATTTTGGCATTTGACCAACTAGATGAGGCCTTGAATGATTTATTTCCTAATGTAACTTAAGTTGGAAAAAAAAAGTTAAGTCAAGAAAAAAAGTAAAAAGCCAATCGAAAAGTTAAAAAGTAAAGTTAGATAAGTTAACAAACCTTGTTAACAATTATATTTAGGTTTATAAAATAAAAAAATGTAACTGCCAGTATCAGCATTGATGCCTCAAAGGTTATGTTAGACAAAAAAATTGTTTTCTTTAACTCTCAGTGTTTTCATGAATTTCTTATAGAAGCACCTTGTTATTTTTCTCAATATATTCGGGCAAGTTGGCGTTTCTTGTTATTACATTGACATTAATTTCTGCCATCAAAATATCCTTATTTTCTGAATGTTACAAAGGTAAAAAGTTCTTGTCCTGGATTCCAAAAACACTATTTGTTTCACATTTTGATTTTCAAAGTATTTCACTGAGTGCCCTATACAGTTAAACGTACTTTCGTTTTTTTTTACACACACGGTGTATACATAATGACAATAAAGTTTGATCCTGGTTCACAGTTCATTAGCTAAACACGCGAGGGCGCTGTTTGGCCCGGAATCCCATGAACTTTGTTCAAATAGTAAATGGGCGTGTTTGTTCTCTGTGAACTGCAATCCTGCCCACACAAAGACAGAACATGGAGTAAAGCAGGGGACGTGAGTCAAACTTTTTGTAATCTGAGCCCTTCTGCTGTTGGTGATCACAGGAAACTAACGCAACGAATGAGCCACAATATAACTTGGAAAGCGCTCTCTGTAGTTTCTGGTAACTTTCTGTAGGGATTAGGATTATATGTATTGATCTAGGGTGGTTTGATTGGATCTGTGTCATTGATTGTAATTTGACCTTTTGGTACTTTAAACTACATGCTTTTAGTGCTAATAACACTTTCTTGTGTTGCACAAGTAGATAGATGTTCCCTTTGCTTTTCTTACCATTGGATGGACCAAAAGTATAAATTAAGAGCTGTTTTCTTTTCTCTCTTTGCAGTATCCAAGCCACAGGGAAGGTGAACCTCAGGGAATAAGGAGAAAGATGGAGGATTTCTGGGCAGGGGTCCTCTGGGCCCTAAGGATTTGGCTCTACCTCATTATCAGTCTCATCATGATCCCAGCCATGTTTGGATTTTCTCTGGGCATCTCTGAGACCTACATGACCATCTTGGTGAAGACCTTAGAGGTATTATAATCTGCTTCACATCATCCAGATGAGCTGAATCCTATATTCTTAAAACCTGACCATGGACTCCTCCACAGTGGGCCACTCTGAACATACAGAAAGCAAATGCAGAAGAAGAAAAGGTTAATGCTTCTGCATCTAATGGTGAGTAAATATTCATGTATATATAACACTGTGGCTCTTCTTGACTGCAGCATATTCAGACAGAAATTCATTTTGGCTTTGCTGCAATACTGGATTTCTGTATTGCAAGTCAAGACAGGAATGTTGCAATGTTATGGAGGCTTGTTCACTATAAAGGTTGGCAGTATTTTTCTAAAATCCTAACAAAAACAGGTAATGCATTGCACAATATTGTGTTTTTGGGATATAATGAACAAGACGCCACAACATGCAGCATGGGGAAGTTGCTCTGGGAACTTTGATTACAGTATCTTAAAAGACCCAATTACTCAACTCCTTATCTGTCACCATACTGCATGGGGTTATATGCCCTACTTTACCACATAAATACAATAGATCTGTCAGCAAAAAAACGCTTTTTAGACCTCTGCAGAGGTCAAAGTATGGCTCTGATATGTGGTGAAATTTTGATAAGAAGTGGCAAATTAAAAATGCTAAATCACCGTTACATTGAAAACATGAGGAGCATTTATCAAACAGACCTTAGATTTCGGACTTTCAAGCTTTATTGGTAGGGGAACTATGCTTAGATCCCTTTTACTGCTTTGCATAAGCTTGAAAAAACTATCCAAACAAAGATTGCTTTGCAGTTTATAGTCTGTTGTTTCAGATGAATCGCTAATGCCTCTAATAGAAAGTTCACATTTAAGCTATGTTCCCACGGAAAGTATTATTGAGTGTTTCCATTGCAAACTATTTCTACTTGCACATTAAAATAATACATATTTGCAGTTGTCTTGAACACATCTAGTGGTTTAATTGCTTGTATTGTTTTAAAAATACTATCAAATGGTGTGTATTTTTCACAGCCAATGAGGAATAAAAACAGAAAGGTGTAAGTAATATAGTGATTTTTTTCCCCTGAAACCCAGGCAGTGTTCAAACACAGGGCTCAAAATTACCACTGCAGTTGTGCAGAATGCACCTTAAACACCTTTGAAGGGGGAATCTGAATGGAGAAAAAAAGCAAATTAGATGAAGAAAACATGAAAAATAAAAAAAGTAGTAAAAAGGAGTCCGGGCAGTTGCATGATGTGATGTCACCAGAAGCATCTGTGAGTGGAAGCATATCCTTTGATTTGTAAATGTTGAATAAAGATATAACAATCTGGTATGACCCTTTTTGGATAGATGTTTTCCTTATTAAATTATTTGTATTTCCTTTTTGCCACTGCAGTGTATTTCTTCTTTTTTTCATATATGGCACTTTCAATTGTCTCACCATTGAAACGCCTTATAAATAAACTTACATTCTCTCAAGTTATTGTTGAATAAGCAGTTTTGTCATTTTATTTTCCTTTAATGCATTTATTTCTATACCTATTTGAATTTTCTAAGGAGATTTAAAGAGGGATTGGTCCAGATTTCTATCATTTGATTGCGTTTGACTTTGACTCTTATTTTATCTGTTTGTTTCTGTATCAGGACTCATTCAAAGGGAAGGCGGCTCTATGGAGAAAGAGCTGGAGGAGCTGATACGCAGTAGACCCAAACCGCCAGAAGGAGGGGACTTCACGCTGAGTGACTGTTTCTATTTCTCTCGAAGGGGAATTGAAAGCATTGTAGATGATGAGGTACCCTTCATCTTTAGCCACTTGATTTCCAGATAATTAAGCTTTTTTTCATTCCGGTTTTGGGTTTTATTTCAATACTTATTGTCTCTCTTTTTTTTTTTTTATTAAAGGTAACCCAGCGGTTCACCTCAGAAGAACTGGTATCCTGGAATCTACTGACGCGCACCAACAATGATTTCCAGTACATCAGTCTGAAGCTAACACTGGTTTATGGCCTTGGTATCTTTGTGCGATACTGCATCCTCGCCCCGCTTAGGTAAACAAACACTTTGTATGCCATGCTGACAGTGAAATCAAACATTGAGTCTATTCCGTAAAAATTCAAAAAATATCCACTGGACTTGGTTTTCAAGATTTGAAGACGTTTCGCCACCTCTCCAGGAAGCTTTCTCAATTCGAATTGAGAAAGCTTCCTGGAGAATTGAGAAAGCTTCCTGGAGAGGTGGCGAAACGTCTTCAAATCTTGAAAACCAAGTCCAGTGGATATTTTTTGAATTTTTACGGAATGACTATGACCTGGATGACTGAGAACCTTCATCAGCATTGAGTCTATTGTAGAGAAGGAGGAAATAACAAGGTCAAAGGTCACCAAATGAGCTGTAAAACTGAAACAGGTGAATATTGGATGTTCTGATGAGAAAGAAACATTGGACAGTCTTGGCAGCTGTGCTAAGTCTAATGAAAATGTTGCTTATCAGAGATGTTTGCTTGAAATCTTAGTGTATATCTTAGTATATAAGTGATCAATACTTAGTGTTCCATTGGTTTCATTTGCTTTTGTTTATTAATCATCAGATAAAGCTTTTGGCTTTGGATCTGAACTCTTTTGATCTCTGATCAATAGTAAGACTGGTCGGGTGATTCCTCATGGTGAAATCATTGCTTGTGGAAAAGGCTTTGAAAGATTCATAGTAGGATTTATCTTGCCTGTTCTGGATCATTCTTTTTGCAGAATGTCTAAACAGAGAAGATGCTTTTACCTCCAACTTTTTCAGCCCAGTTTGGGTACATCCTGTGAAATGCCAGTCTGTCCTTGGAGTTTTTTTTACAGCAGCAAATCATCCCGAATAATTTGCTTCATTATTTGTACAGAAGTATCCATTCTGTCTGTAGCCATACCTAATCATTTTTTTGTACAGTTAGAAACCAGATCCCTTAGCTGAATCTTCTTTTGGAGAACATCCCTCCCTACCCTGCTTGTCTCTTTCTTTAGTCACAGAACTTTCCTTCTTAAAGTAATGTTTTTTTTGTGCCCTTCTAATCCAAAAAGGATTTTAACAGCATATGTTTTCTTACTAGTTGACGAAAAAAGATGATTTCAGTTTTGATTTAGTCTGAGACAATGCTGTATCTCATAACACCTGTTCTATCCTTTATATCTCTTTCGCTTAATGATGATTGCAGGACTAAAAGCTTTTGCAAATTAGGCTTTTCTGATTGAGATAATTTCAAATAACTTTGCAATTATTTGCAGTTTTTAGACATAGTATCTGATCCATCTTCCTAGTGACCTAGAGTCAAAGTAAATTCTCACCATTGCTGGAGCAATAAAGCTTAATTGAAATGGGACTCCTTTCAATCTCAAAACTTTTGACCATCATTGTATCTTCATCAAAACTGTTCTCTTTCCAGAAGGAAACTGTTTTAAAATTTTTTGCACAAAAAAAATCAATTAAGTTTAACATTTTATATCAGAGTTAAGTTTCCAACCTTTTCTAAAGCTTTATAACATTGTAAAAACTGGTCCTAAATAGGTCTGGAACTAGTTTAACACACCCTCAGATCAGAAGACCTATCAATATGCTTTACTAGTGGAAAAAATATCCTCACATTTACAGTTTTGTTTCCTATATAGCAGCGGGGCAGGCAGAACTCTGTTTTTACCATCATGGGGATGTAACTGCTTTTATAAGAGCTTACCAGCAGCTTCCTTGTCCAAAACACACAGATGTGCGTGGAAATAAAGAGGCTGTGACATATAGATGAAAGGGTTGCTGTCCATGGTGAAAATTAAATCATTTGTTTACAAGATGATTCGGTATTAAACGTTTGACTGTTTGTTTAGCAGCATTCCCTTCACCCACACTGGATCATTTAACATTTAACAGCAACATATCTATAAAATAATGCAAAAAGTCCACACCTGAGCATGACTAAAAACTTTTACAGTGCCTTTTTTCAAGGGTTATGTAGCAACCATGTTTAAAATCTAGATACATTTTAAAGAAGAGTTGGTCCTAAATCTTCCACAAGATGGATGGTATAAAAAAAAAAAAAACTCTTACAGAGAAAAGTTCCTCAAGTTAAGAAATCTAAATGTTTCTCACATGTTTCCCAAAGCAAAATTAAATGTTGCAGTAGCTCAAGGTTTGATTGTTGTTTCTCTCTCTTATTAAACTAGTTGTTAAATGTGTGGATCTGGAGAGGCCATCCTTTTCTGAAGAGGATGCTCAATATTTTCCATAATTTTCTTCACTTTGGGAATAATTATACCAAGTATTTTATGCCTAATATATTAACTCTTAAAGCCATCTTTGATGTGTTTGTAGGATTAATGTCCCGAACCCCTCCAAATACAAATACCATCGAACTTTGAACATTTCCAGCTGTGGATTTCAGTTAAAGTCAAAGAATAAGGACATGGTCCCTTTTGTTTATTGCGTTTGATTTTTCTTTTATTTACTTTGCACAGTGTAATGCTCTACTCGCAATAAAACAGTCCCACGGCATGCTTCTACCTCCACCATGTGAGATAGTTTCTTCAGTAATCTCAGGTGTGCAGTCTGGAGCTATTATTAAGTTTACATGTAGATGTATGCAAAAATGTTTTTTTTTTTTTTTTTTGACTTTTGACCCTTTTATAGAAGGAAGGCTGCAATAAACTTGAAATTTTGCACCAAGTTTGTTTTTAAATGGATTTTTTCTAACATCATATCAGCTTGATAAAGGTAAAAAAAAAAAGAAGAAAGAAACGATTAAAAGCCAAAATTGAATAATGCATTTGAATCAACAAGGAGGGTTTGTACATTTCTTAAATATCTATAGGTTAGATTGTTTTTCTGATCTCCTGATACAGAATCTCCTTTATATCTCCTATGGGTTTCTGCCACTCTAATCTCATTCCTTCTGACATTGTCTGTGCTCGTCTTTGTTCAGGATCACACTGGCCTGCATCGGCCTGACCTGGTTGGTAATTGGACAACTGCCGTTGGATTTCTTCCAAATTCCAGGTGACCACAAAATCTGACAGGTTTAAAGACTGTTCCACTGAAAGAAAATCTGTCTCTTATTTCCAGTTTCTTTTTTCATCTGAATGTTCATCTTTAGGGTAAAGTTCTGGCTCAGTGAGTGGGTCCATGTTATGTGCTACAGAATCTGTGCTCGAGGGCTGTCTGCTACTATTCACTACCACATCAGGTAACCTGTCATTAAATGCTCTGCTACCATGTGAGCGATTCCCCAAAGCTACCATGCTACAACATTTAGGTTAATCCTTTCTCCTGTATTAAATGACTGAAACCCCTAAATCAGTTAGATACCTAGCTTTCTAGAGGCTTTGTAATTTATTCAGGTTTGTTGAAAAAATGATGCATCTAAAAGTTGCTTTATGGTAGATCTAGAGGACTAGAGTTGGGAATCCCTGCTCTATTGTTGTCATATTTCTGCATTTGTTACATTCAGATCTCTGAAGTGTGCGTTTTTGACTGTGCCAAACCGTCTTATTCAGGTGGGTCAGGTCCACGGAGGTCTAATGGGAATTCTTCAGAGAGCAATGGTGAGGTCTTGCCCTCATGTCTGGTTTGAGCGGTCAGAGATGAAAGATCGCCATCTAGTGACCAAAAGGTTAGCTTTCAGTTCCCCACAGAACCTCTGCTGTTGTTTTCTGGGTGGTGTTGTCTTTCTTCTTCCCCTCTGTTTCTCAAAGTTCTTGATACTTTTCTGGCTTGTAGGCATGTGGATAAATTACACACAAAACCTCCAGACATGACCACATATTTGAACTTTTTTCAAAAAAGTGACTCATACAGTTGGGAAACCGGGGTCGTGTTTCCTACCTTTTTTTTCTGATATTTTTGCACAATGTGTGTATTTATTAAGGTATTTGAGTTTTTTCATCTCCTTTTCTTTTATTTCCAGGTTAAAGGACCATGTGAATGACAAGACCAAGCTTCCAATATTACTATTTCCAGAAGGTAACTTTTTGCTGCGTTATTTAATTCCATGTTTGATGATAACACTTTCATAGAAATGAGTCACTGAAGGCTGTTATTCTAGCTCCTTTCTGAGAGCTGAGCTCTGAATTGTGACCAAAAACTGATCTTGTATGTGAAGTTGGAAACGGTCCACACAACATGCTTCCTTTCATCTCCTGTATGTCTGCTCTCTGAAGGAACCTGTATTAACAACACATCTGTCATGATGTTCAAAAAGGGAAGTTTCGAAATCGGAGCAACAATATATCCTGTAGCCATCAAGGTACTTTATTTGCAAATATATATAAGGAATGCACCTACAGTCATCCTTGGCATGAATGTCATATACGTTCTTTTTTTATTTAAACACATTAATACTGTTGATGTTAAGATTTGAGGTTAACAAATCAACTAAAATTGGTTCTTATATCCCTCAATAATTAAGTTGATAGACTTTGATTGTAACCTAAACTCTCTGTTTTTGCTTCAATGGCTTAGATGCGTACAACTAAATATTAGTATCATATTTGTTGGTGTTCAACCTATATTTATATTTAGAACCTTGATTAGATAAAAGCTCCTTCTTCCAATTCTATTTTTTTTATGATTCAAGTTGGTGTTAATAATAAATACCCTTGGTAAAAGAATGTTGCAACTAAAGCATCAAAATCCCCAAATGAATGACATTCATGGCTATAATAAGTGATTGTGTAGATTTCATTGTTGCTCTAACTGGCTTCTTGTTCGCTGTTAGTATGACCCAAAGTTTGGAGATGCTTTCTGGAACAGCTCCAAGTACAGCATGGTGAGCTACCTGCTGCGAATGATGACGAGCTGGGCTCTCGTCTGCAACGTTTGGTACTTGCCAGCCATGCACCAACAGGTCAGTTTAAAGGCGTATAACCCTTAAGAACTCACCATCTGCAGACTGTGGGTCAGATTTTTATCTTAGTATAGTTTTATAACTAATTTTTGTAAACTCTTTCTTTTTTTAAACTGGATTTGACCTTCTAAACGTGTTTATTTAGCCATTTCCTGGCAAACTAAAATGTTTATTCTTTGTTCTTGGATGCCAGGAGGGTGAGGATGCTGTCCATTTTGCCAACAGAGTGAAGTCAGCTATAGCTCACCAAGGAGGGCTGATTGATCTACAGTGGTTACTTTTCTATTTGCCTGTAATAAATGGAACAACTTGACGGTGGGAGTAAAAAAAGATTATAGCAGGGTTTTAAAAAAGATAAATAAATCTGCTAAATTAGTTCATTTGATTGGTGACTCTGCAGGGACGGAGGTCTGAAGAGAGCAAAGGTGAAGGATACGTTTAAGGAGCAGCAGCAGAAGAAGTACAGCAGCATGGTGGTGGGAGATGACAGCAGCGGAAACAGTGACTGAGATTAACTTTCAGCACAAAGGACAAATCGTCCAACTTGTTCTGACAAGAACCGATGATGGAAACAGACACATTTACCTCTTTGTTGTTGTTTTTTTTTTACATCGCCTGGACATGGCAGGGAACGGCCCAAATGGACTTTGAAAGAGGAGCAGCTAAATGGAAACGAAGCGATTCAAATAAGTGCAATATTAAAAAGCAGAGAAAGAAATACTCTGTTTTACAGCTGCTTATCTATTATTGCTATTAAATACTATTGCTGAAACACCTCAGGTTTTGGACTGAGTGTCCCTTTTATAAGCTCATATGTTTTAAAACTAATATTTTGATCAAGAATGGAATCATCTTTGCATGTTAACACTTATTCTCATAATTCTGTCCTGGTTTACTGCAAAGCACATTATTGCACATTATCTGTTCCCAGAAATTATGTTTTTAACCTGAGTAACCATTGACATGTGTAACAGTCCAGTTTACTGAGTTTAAGAGGGAAATTGTTTCACAGTATCACACACAGCTTCGTTTTGGACGGTCTTCCTCCTGATGCTTTTCTCGAGGCGTTGTCTTCACTGCAGTTTTTCTGACTTCCTTCCTCTTCAACACCTAAAATCGAATTATAGAAAAAAAATACTTTACAGCATATTGTTTTACTGATGAGAAGTTTACATTTGGCCATGAAGAGTGAGTAAAGCTTAAAGGAACTTTAAAAGCTTTAAATCCACCCAAATCCCCAAAGTTTAATCAGCTGTCAAAAAGCTTTTGGTTTAATGTGGGCTTGATGTTTGACTGCTCCAGCAGAAAGGGACTGAGGTGAGGGAGCTAATTGTTAGCCTGTTTATCTGTCATTGGGGTTTATCACCCAGTTGTCTCTGTGTTGATTTGAGGAAGAATATAAGAAATTCTGAGTTAGTCCATTATTAGCACCCTAACTTTGTGGTATGCTCCACATCCACTAGTAATGAAACACATGATGCTACCACCACCATGCTCAACAATCTGGTATGTTGCTCTCTTGAGTCCAAATCCTCAAATCAACTCCTCCAAACTTGTTTTTCTTTTTATTTTAGACCATAAATGGCCGTGCCAATATGGGCAAAATGCATTTTTCCATCAAAATAGAAGGTGACCATTATCTAGCATGTGCTGCTGCTTTCTCGGTGTACGCTGATCTTAATCTTCTTTCACTTAGAGACTTTCCTTCCAACATCCTCCAATTATTGATTGGCTTGAGCCTTGATAGTTACAGGGTTGTTTCTTTAAGTTCTGACATTTCGTATAATATTTTGCATCAATCTGCATCAGATGGTTGAAACTTGGACAGAACTGTATCTTGCAACAGAACAATGATTCTAAGCAGACATCCTCATGGGTTTTTGAATGGGAAAAAAAAAACTAACAATAAACTGTTGGAATGACAGCAATCTAAATCCTGCTAAAATGTATAGATGATGCTTTAATTGAGTGTTGCAGAGAAACAAGTAACCAAATATGTCAAGAAATATTCTGCCAGAGGTTAACAAGAAACCTTTTGTTGTCATCTGTCACTTGTTAGAGTTAATAGGAAGTATGTGCTTATATCGAGACTGCATATCAGCTTTTCTTCCCCTTTCCTGGGCTAAAGCATCAAACTTTTTTTTCCAGGTGTGTATTTGATGATGCGAATGTGAATAACTATCTTTTTTTGTTTCGTCCAAATTCTATAAGGGTAAAACTAAAACCAAATGTGGTCTAGATTATTGTTTCTGAAATGTGGAGTTTTTTTATAGGATCAATGCATGGGGGGGTATTAGGTAGGAGTTGAAATGAATTATGAAATCATAGTGCACTGATGTGAAATTCAGATATCACTAATCAATGGAACCTTTAGAAATGTGATTGAAGGGAAAGTTTCCTCACCATCTTTCTTGAAATCAGTTGGATCACTGCCATATTGCACAGTCTGTAATTCAATTCACTGGATTAATATACTGTACGCCTACTTGCACACCAGTAATTAAAGACTCTCTAATTATGATATTACTTACCTCTATTTTTATTTTTTCTTTCTGTAATTCCTGAAACGCCTCATACCTGTTTGGTAGAAATTGTAGGCAAACACACACAGGGGAAATAAGCATTAGTCAGACCAATGATTGTCAATCAGCCTATTGTCGAAACATTGACAGCAGATGTTGGACACAGTCCCAATAATTCATAAATAGAAAGTTTTATGGGTAAACAGTTGGAATTCATCATGGACAGTGTATTAAATGCACAAAAAACCGAGTCTGAATTTTCTAGTTTTTAGAAAGTATTCTTGCTGTTATGAGAAAATCAATTTTAGCTGGCCAGAAAAAAATTGATTTTGTCATCAAAGTTTGGCACAGACAGGTATGATAACAGCAACAACACCTTCAAAGCATCTTACTGTTGTTAAACTTAATGCTTAAAGCTTCACTTTTTAAACTCATGAGCCAAAGCAATTTGGCCTTAGTTTTTTTTTCAAAACATCAAACAGTGGCGCAGGAGCTAAGGAGCACTCACAGAGGGTTTGGAAAAACTGAGAATAGCAGAAAATGATTTTTCATGTTAAAAAACAGTGCACCAAACCACAATGCCCTATTTGTACAATCACTGCACAAGGCTCTTCTGTACAGTATAGGGTAAAGCATGATGACAGTTGATCAAAGTTTAATGCAGAAGATGTTGACAATATAATACTGTCAAAATGCAATCTTGTCTCAAGAGACCAAAGTCAGCGCAGTGAAAACAACCTGTTTGGAGAAAGAATGGTTTTGCACATCAGTAAGAATTTATTCCCAGAGGGAAGTTTACAGACTGAGAGATAAAGGTATTAGCATACAGGTAGACTATAACAGAAGGGAAGATGCATAGAAAAAGTTAAATAAGGTTAAGAAAAAGAGCAGCGGCCTAGTGGTTTGGGCATTGTGCTTGGAATCCAGAGGTTCTGAGTTCAAGCCTAGCTCCCACAGACTGCCACTCTGGGTCCATGAGCAAGACCCTTAACCCCCACACTGCTCCCCAGCGCCACACAAATGGCAGCCCACTGCTCCGCAAGGGTATTGGGTTAAATGCAGATTGTTAATTTCGTTGCTCTGTAATTGTGACAGTGTAATGACAATAAAAAAGCTGGAAAAAAATTGTGGAGTTTTAACAAAAACAATAGTTTCAAACACACAGATGAAAACAATCTTGTTCTTTAGGATTTGGGGACAGTTGAGTTGAATTGTTCTCGGTAGGTTTTATGTTTACTGCCCAATTAGAAATCAGATTGATGCGTTCAATGCTTATTCCATGCTGTTTATATAGAAAAGAGTTCACAATGTACAGAAGAGTCTTTCCATCCCTGTTTTTTTAAAGACAACGAATATGAATAACCTGATTTAGTGTCTCACTCTGTACAGCTCAGGTTACAAACAAACAGCTGAGGCAATGTTTAAAATTAGCTCATTCAATCTCAAAGCAAAAAAAAGGAGTGTTGTTTCATGTTTCAAGCTTTAAGAGTTTAAATCATTCTAAAATTATTTACACTCTATGAAATTAAATATTGATGCTGATTATTTCATGTAACAGTTTTTTAGCCAGATTGCCAGTTTTGTTCCATGAAACTGCAGTTGGTCAGTTAACTGAGCACTTGAAAGGCTGCAGCTGTGGTCTTTTTTCCTATTTAGTAACTGTTTCTGTCCAGTTGCTGAAATTATCCTGACCTTAGCAGATAGGAGTCATGCTGAATGATGACTGTTCTGGCATTTACTCCATCTGGTGCCCGTTGTTCGCTTGTATCCACTCCAACATCCACCCTGCCAGATGCTTCAGATGAAATCGACATTTCTACCTACAGAGCCAAAGATGCAAGAACTGAAATGGTGATAAAAAAAAAGAGATTATGATGTAAAAGAAAAGCCTACCGAATGTTTCTAATGTTGTGAGAAGAGGATCTTGATGTTCACAAACAAGGTTGTTTGGCTTCAATATATGTGCAGGAAAATGTGGTTGAGAGGTTCCTGGAGCTGTTTATTGTCATATCCATGGCAACAGAACCCCCAAAGGGAACTGGGATAAAAAAAAAAAAAAAAAACAGTTAGGGGGCCTCCAACTGGGATGATCTTCAGCTACTCTAGTCAACTTTCTGAATGTCAGTGACTTATTTTAATCAAGTAACCTTTCTTTAACACTCCTGAATGACCAGACCCAATTAATGGCCTATGTAATATTGTTTGTTGTTTGCATCATCATGGTCTTGTCTGTTGTGTTTTTCTCAATTTTCTATATTTTATTGATTTTGAGCTTCTTCTGGAGGTTCTTCAAGGATTTTTCAATCTTCTAAGATGATTTGTAACATTGGCAGTAGGGGCAAGAAATAAAAACATTGGATATAATTAGCAAGGATGAAGTTTGGTTATTTTAAATTTTCAAAGAAAATTCTATGCCTCCATTACTTAAATCTGGGAAATCTAGCATGAGGATATGAGGATACATTTCAGATGGTTCCACACATGAGGAACCATCAGGTCCTATCACATAGGGTTTGTATATGGTTTATGATGCTACTCCATTGCATGTATGGGCATGGAGATGAAGGGTTTAACATTTTCAGCCCTAACCCAAAAAAATCATAGGAAGTAAGTTTTGTGCAACTCTGTAGCAGAAAGGTATGCAGTATGTATGGCATCTCTGAGTTTTAAAGCCCATGATAAAGAATTTGTATAATGTTAAAAACATTGCATGGCAGCCTGGCTTAGATAGATGTCCAAATGCATTTGCCGGGGTATCAGTTGAAAAGACAAGTAAGGCTGCAAGGTTCCTTTCTCCAAAATATCAGCACCATATACCATGAAAAAGTGAAGAAGATGGACAATAACTGGGATATAACTTTTCATTTACCAGCTATTATTTATTTTTTTCTTGCATTTTATGCAACTTTTTCTGTAAATTACCATTATGCTTACAGTACTAGGGAAGGAATATTTGTGTCCCATTTACCACCTGAATGTGTTGACAAATCAATTAAAACCCATCTCATGCACAAGATATATATGAAGACACTGCAACAAAGTTTGATTCCATGAAACTATAAATAATTTCTTCACCATATGATTTAACTGATCTGGATATATTGCAATGCAAAACAAAGTTCTTTTACATTTTTACAGTGTGAAACAGCAGAATCCACTTTATTGATAAACTGGAAGAAAAATATTCACAATTCTTCACATATCTGTTGTAGCAGATTTAAAGAAAAGACATCTTAGCAGGAGCCACGTTGCTTGGTGGAGAAATATTGGGTCCCATTAGGATTCTTCCTTCTCATCTCCATGTGTGATGATGTAGCAGAGCTGTTTGTAGTCGATATTGCCAATTGGGTCAATCGGTGCCAGAGTAAAGGCCTGCTCCACCTATAATGTTTATGAAAACATATTCTAAGCTTAATGTTATCAGAAAATTGTCACATCTGACTCTGTGAAATCTATTAATTAAAACTACTGACCTCTTCTGCAGTGAATTTGTCAGCCTGGTTCATC